GCTCCCTATCACTGTCATAGCATTTGACTATTAAGCATGAGAGAAGTGTAGACTCTTTTATTAATTAATAATTACTTTGATTTGTTCGGCGGATACTTCGGGTTCCTTGGACCGACACTTTGGGTAGTTATGTAATTAATAATTAGAGGGTTATATTCTCAATATTTGCATTATTACTACTTGTATTTATTTTGTATTGATTATGATTGATTACACAGTAAATTCGAATGCCTTCGTGTGTTTTTAGGCAAAATGATTTATTATATATTTATTTATTTTGTCAAACAAATGTTTTATTGTAATTGAGTCAGAAATAATCAATGATACCAAAATAAATATATTAATAAAGTAGTCGGATTGATGGTTTTATTTATCCGATAATTAATTATGCATAGAGGGGTCAAAGTGCAACATTGACTTAGAGGTTATTTATTATTTAATTGGAGTTCAATTAATTTATTTTAATGGAGTAGAAATTAATTAATGAATTAATTAAATTGGGTCCATGGATCGGGCCAATTATTAATTCATTGTAGCCAATAAAATAATAAGACCAAAGGATTCTCACTCATAGCCCAACTTGATATTGGAATCCTATTCGATTTGAGATATGTGAATTAGAAATGGAGAATGATTTATTGTTTCCTTTTCTGATTTTTATGTTGCCTATATATATATGGGTTCATGTATATTTTAGGAGAGACTTTTTGGAAAAGAAAAAGGAATATATATTTTCTCTCTCTAGATTTTAGGGTTTGCTTTCTCATCTAATGGAGACTCCCACAAGCCTAATTTTCCAAGGTCATTCATGGAGACTTATGAGCGATTCCTAAAGGTTAGACTATTACGAAGAAAATGGAGATCCAAGTAGAAGACATTTAGCAAACGGGATCTACAATAAGTGAGAACATTCACTTTAGATGAGAGATATAAGGTTTACTCAAATCTTGATGTAAATATTCAATTTATTAATTGAATGATACATCATATTTTATTTTTGTATAAAACTTGTCTTTATGTGATGAATCAAGATCTATGAATCAAAATCCCTCGAAAAGTTTTTTAAAACTTGCACATTTCCCAACAGAGACATACATTGAGATACATAAATTGATACGAGAGTGTTGTAACCTAATGATATATCTTATAATTCTAAAAGTGGATAGTGAGAGTTCAAGTTTTTATAAAAGTAAATGACTGCATCAGTTCTTTGCGAATTCAAAACTATATATATATATTGACAAATAACTCCCCCAATGAATTTTTTTGGGTCTATATATTGGACGATTTAAACATTGAACCTTTTTAGGGTATGTAGAAGTGAAAATGGCTATAATTTTATCTATGTCTTGCTTAATCTAACAGCTCAGTTTAGAAATTACTGTATATATATAATTTATTCCTATTAACTGCATGCACTATACTTGCCTAGTTCCTGAAATTGTAAAACCCATCTGATATCAAAATGAGAATAAGAAAAAAAAAAAGCTAGATCATATCTATAAGAAGTATATCTGTTGAACGCATGCATCTCAGAAGACCATTTGACTTAAATTAGAGGACCATGCAACAATATATCTGTTTTGAAGTAGGAAACCTTTTCTGAATTAATTAGCTAGGAAAACCCATCATTCCAGGAAAATGATTATCTAGTGGTTTCCAGTTAATTCTTATATTTGTTTACTAATACAAAATGAATGATATATCTGTATTAACATACCATGGTTGAAGATGAGAGATGATTGAATTCTGAAATAAACTTTAAAATAATCTATTTTCCCAGATTTTCAGTACATTTCTCAGTAAAATTTCGATAAATTTGTTCTGTGTTACAAAGAAGTAATTGATGCAGTATTTTCAGGATCATTGCCTTTAAAAGTTTCTAATAGCTAGCTAGGTGCCTTTGTTCTCTGGGCAAGTTTCATGCTTTGTATTTCATTAATTTGCTCCACTTTTGTTCCTTTTTATATTTTCATTTTAGATTGGTGGTTCTGGTTCTCTTTTTATGCCAGGGTTTGTCCCCCTTGATCTCTTGTAATAAATTTTCATGATCTTTAATGTAAAGCTTGATTACCAAAAAGCATACAAAAAAAAAAAGAAAAAAGAAAAAAGAAAAAAGAAAAGTAATTGATGCACTAGTCATAAACAACATCCTATATATATATATATATAGCCATTTTTTCTATTCTGGTATTTCAGAGTGCACACTGAGTGTTTTTGGTGGGACAAGGAGGGAATTTAATTAGGTTAAGCATCAGGCGTACAGCCTACATGCTAGTCTTGCTGGATGGTATGTAGATTTAGAGCTGACAAGTCTGACCTACTTTTAGGTGATATAATAGTATATAACCATTCTTTTGTGTGTGCCGCATTCTCGACTTAATGATAATTTTGTATTTGTTACATTATTGATCGTAAATAGTATTATAAATTATTGATATTGCATGACCGTTGATTTGAAGCACAATGAAAGATGGTAAAACAAAAAAAATTGTTGTGGAAATTAGATATGAATGGAAAAGGTATAAACATGTAACCATAGTGGACCAATATAAAGATATTTTAAGCAATGTGTAGTATATATATGAGTATTGAAACGAGCTGAATTGAAGCAACTGAAAGAGAAAAAAAAAAAAAAAACTTGTAGTGGAAATCGAAATATGAATAAAAAGTATAAGCATCCATATAAAGATTCTTTGAATGAATGTATTGTATGTACATTAAAACCCCGTCGAATTGAAGCAAATATCAAATGAAAGACATTAAAAAAACTTGTAGCGAAAATTAGGAATCTAGATGGAAAAAAAGTACTTATATGCATCTAACCATATTTGACCAATACAAAGATTCTTGAAGTAATGTGTTATTGTATGTGCATTAAAACGACGTTTAATTGAAGCGCAACCAAAGATACTTAAAAAAAAAAAAAACACTTGTAGCGAAAATTAGGAATCTTGATGGAAAAAGTACCAGCATCTAATCATAGTTGACCGATATAAAAAGTCTATAGGAAAATGAGTAGACCTAGTGACTCCAAGAAATTAAAGAAAATGTTTGTCACAGTGGTTCTCTCTTGCAGATGAGGGTGCGTTCTTCTGTTTTCTAGGGCGCCTTCAACCATCTTGCCTCTATGGCTTTTGGTTTGCATATACCTGTTTAATAAATTTCACTTAGCTTTCTATTAATGGAATATATTATATAGTATAATAATATATCCAGGATTTTAACTTTTTAAGGGCTTTTGAAATTCCAACGCTACCCATCTAAAATTAAAAAATTCACATTGTTAGTTTGGAAAAGTTTTCTGAAGCTAATGATGTGAAATACTTAAATAACAATCTTTAACATGGACAAGTAAAATCATGGGTAGGATTTGACCGTTCCTTAATTGCAAGTAATGAACACTATAATCATGATGTGTGTACCAAAAAGTAAAAAAATAAGAAGAAAGAACCAACCCAAGACAGGTGATATGGTGTACTATTGTATTACTTTTGGGATTAAATTAATATGGTTTGAAATACCAGCTATAACAAGATGTTACACCCTCCTAATTAATTAAAAAATAAATAAATTAAAAAAAAGAATGAGATATGCATTGAAATACATGAGCTAATACGCTAATGTTGTAATTTAGTGGTATATCTTATACCTTTAAGAGTGAATGGTGAAAGTCCAAGTCTTCATAAGGGCAAATGAGTGCGTCAATTCTTTGGAAATTCAAAACACATATATATATATATATATATTGACAAATAAGTTGAATAACTCCCACAATGAATTTTTTAGGGTATATATATATTGGACGATTGTAACATTGAACCTTTTTAGGGTATATAGTAGTGCAAAGGGCTATATTTGGGCTTGGGCCAGGCTGATCCCATGATTTTTAAGCACCACACGACTCGCCCTGTCCCAAACTAGACCTTTTGAGACATAGGTCCATGCCCTGCTCTAGAAGAGAGCAAAATGCGCAGGGCACGGTGCAACGAGCTCAACTAAATTTATTCTTTTCTTTTTTCTTCTTCTTCTTCTTCTTTTTTTTTTTTTTCTTTTTTCCTGTAGGTGAGTCACACTCCCATCTATATTTCATGGATTTTCTTTGTAAAGTATTGTAAACCACCGGAAATGATTTATTTCAAATGAGTTAAGGTGTGTTCAAAAAAATAAAAAATAAAATCTAATTCAACATTTAATTTTGAATTGATTAAACATTTATCAAATTATTGAATTTGATAACATCTTTTGAATTTCAGTTAAAAAAAAATAAGTGCTACTTAAAGTAAAATAAAATATACAACAAAGTTGTGTTTGCTTCAGACAGAGAAATGGTTGAGAGAGAGAGAGAGAGAGAGTTGTGTTTGCTTTACGGTGATCGGAGGCTTTGTCTACAGTCCCACAATTCAAACCCAAAGCTTCAAAATGAAGCTTTCCAGATTGTGAAGGCTATTTTTTTTCCCTAGATTGTGAAGGAACTGGCAACTCGGTTTTGATTTTTTTTTAGAATGTCTAAACCCAAAACATGGTTACCAAACACGTTTTCACTTGCAGTTTTTCATTTTTTCAATAACTATGATCCCAAAGCACTTCCTGTGATCCAGACTATCTATTACCTTGACATGGTTGGTGAGAATGTGATGGTTCCTGCACATCCAAAAGTTAACTAGTCCTACAAAAACTCATACCCTCCTCATGTTCACGTTGTGTGTGTGTTAGCCTGCTAGGTAAATACTCGCACACAAACACAAATGTCCCACAAGAAGGTTCGAACTCCTCACCTCCTCTTTGAGAGAGGAGAGGTTATACGAGCTGGGTAATTAGGTTGGTTCCAACTTCTACAGCCAAGTATCCAGCAAGCTTCTATCGCATATGAGCTGCTCAAGTTTTAGAAGGGCCAACACTAATATCAGTTTGCTCTGCAAAGATTTCCTTGTAGCTAATGTGACCAGCAAATTGTTATCACAATATGCAGAACTCTGGCATATTATTATGCAAACAAGTAAATAAATATGCACATACATCCAATATATAAACAGCGCTAGGATTCATACATCGATTCTAGTGGGAAGAGTAAGAAAGTCAGATCAATAAACATTACAACAATAAGGTCCCTTGGTAATCATGGACATGATCACCAGTTTTTTACTGGCTTCATCTTCAGCTTAGAGAAAATTACCAGATGGTCCAGCCGATATTTGAACCCACATCATCAAATGCTTTGGGTTCATTGCTGATAAATTGAGATCCAAAATCCTTCTGACCAGCTCTGCTTGATCTCCTTAATCTTGTGTACCTACTCTTGCCAAGGATATAAATACATTATATCCAGGGTTAAAGTTATTCCCAACAAATTTCTACAGCATATGCAAACCATTGCAATCAGTCTCCTAATTAATTGGATCTGGATTGAACTTCACTGATTCCCTCCAGATGAGCTCCTTAATGTTCTCTTCGTTGAACGATGGCTGCTCAAAATCAAAACTGAATGGCCTGGCATAAACGGGCTCATCATTGCTATCGTGAAGAGATGACAAGTATGGGTGGCAAAGAGCCTCATCAACTGTTAGCAGATACAGAAAATAAAACAATCAGAAAGTGAACAAAACGGACTCCCAAGAATATCCTTGAGATGTGTCGAATATTTAAAATCCCTCTGTACCTGTAATGCGCTTGTTGGGATCAAACACAAGCATTTTCTCAAGCAAATCAACAGCCAAAGGAGACATATTGGGGAATCTAGCTGAGAATTGTTGCTTTGGGTATTGTGGAAGCTGTCTAACATATCTTCGGGCATTATCACTTCTAAGAAATCCAAGGCTGGCATCAGTAGGTGAACCTAATAGCTATTTGAAAGAAGAAATGAAGCACAATATGTTACAAGAAAAATAAAAATAAATAATAATAATAACAGTCAAAATTAAAAATTAAAAAAAAAGATTATTCTCATGGTTTCTTTACTTCAGGCGGGGAACAGTTTAAGATGATATTCACCAACAATTCAAAATAAAAAAATCAGTAGTAACATGACTGCAAAATTAGATTCAAGCTTGGGTTTTTGGCATGATTATCCTTTATGTGGCAGACAACCATACTAGCTGATGCATTTTAAAATGTGTCACTGCTTAAAGATTAGTTATACTTTCATCCTCAAATGCCTCTGTATTCTATTGATGATTCATTTATTTTTCGAATTCATTGTCCAAGTAAGTAATTTTAGATGACAGTGCTCCCGTGCCATGATTTGCAAAAGTTTCATGGAATAGGCATCCGTGGAGTAAGAAAAAATGACGTCAATTTACCTTGTTAGCATCACCTAAGACTATGATTTACAACAAGGCCCAAAGAACCAATTCCTGGGAACAGGAAAATTTTTAAGAAATTTCTCATGTCCCTCAATCTCTCCTACCCAACCAGAGGGTGCAATAAGTGATCAGAAAGCCACTACAATTTAATATACTTTTCATTAGCTTTCCTTTTATTAGTAATTGAGAGAATTTTATCCTACTTTTAAAAATAAAAAATAAAAAATAAAATTTGAAAGGTCTAAGAATTTGAAGAATTACAAGTCCAAACTAGCCCTAAGATTCAGTCTGATGGTATCAGAAAGGGCTGCGACTATCGCAGGAGATTGCAGCTGAAACACCACAGGCTCTTCAGCCTGGTTGGTAATACCCCTCTAACAGGGAATTATTCACAACTGCACAAAACAAAACTAAAATAGGAATACAGACACACACACAGCGGACAAAGCCAAAGGAATCTGCAAAGAAGAGTAGATTTACCTCAAAACCAGGCTGGCCAACTTTTCTGGCTAAGTATTATTTAATAAAAATGACTACGTACTTGACTCTCTTTCACGGATCCAGAATCTTGGATCTGCATAATAAACTTTACATGAAAGTCCCAGAAATCATACCTCTGTAATGAGTCTCAGCTGATGAACATAATCTTTGCCAGGGAACAGAGGTTCTCTGGTCATGATTTCACCAAGTATGCATCCAACAGACCAAACATCAATTGCAGCAGTGTATTCTGAGCAGTTAAGGAGCAACTCTGGTGCCCGATACCAACGGGTGACAACATATTCAGTCATGAAATCCGTTTCAGAAGTTGTCCTTGCCAATCCAAAGTCTCCTATCTTAAGGTCACAATTTGCATTCAGAAGCAAATTGCTAGGCTTAAGATCGCGGTGCAAGACATGTGCTGAATGTACATATTTCAGTCCACGTAACAGCTGATACAGAAAGTACTGCAGGAATTTCATGAAATATCAGTCCCATTTGCAATTTCAACCACAGTAAGGCAGTAAGGTAATAACCAAATGCCAGGTACATTGAGAACGGATACTAAAAAACAGTACTAATAAAAGATAGGCATAGTCAGCTTAGCAATCAAACTTCAGAACAAACAGTATGATGATTTCCTAGACATGATACAAAAACAAGAAAAATTATACTGTACTAAAAAAAAAATCAATTTGACCAATCTACACAATAGTAGCACCTGCAACACTGGGAACGTTAAGTGTCCTGTCCTAGTCATAATAAAGGGATGGTAGCAAAGGTCACTCTCTGAACTTGGTAGCAACATTGTTAAGGTAGCTCTCGATTTTGAAGCATGGGTATAATAATCATTTCTTCTTTTTTAATTCAGAAAGTGGCCAGAAAAGATCAGCAATTGCTATTGGGACCACAACAGTTATATAATATGTACATTACACTCAAATAATTGCTATATATATATATATATACACGAAATGAAAGGAAGCTCTGAAATCCTAAAATGCATGGCTTGGAACATTGTCTTTAATTCTATATGTTTATTTTGCAACCAAATATGACATTAGTAGAATATCCGGTGAAATTGAAATCATCGATCCCCATTCCACCAATTTTCTATCATTTGAAATGATGATATAGGTTTTTCCGGAATTACTCGTTTAAAAGGTCTTAGGAATCACGTTTCATGTTTTCATCACTGCATGTTTGAAAATGTAACACATTTGCTTTTATCATTACTCTAAGTCTGATGAGCTTGTTTAAGTTCCTATAAACTTTGAAATCTTGAAACTTGTACTAGAATCTACTGCCAAGATAAATTAATTTTTCATGCATGTGCAGTACTCACTACAGGTAATTTGATTTATATCGTGCAGTCGGTCATTTCTCCTAGTTACATACTGTGTCAAGTTTTTGACAGATTAAACCTTTTCTGTGTCTAAGTAGCTGTGATAATCACCAAGTAAATTTTTTCTAGCTTCAGCTTTGCTTTATTTGATTTCATCCACCTTTATCAGAAAGTAATAAATTAAAGCACACCACGTGGATTAAAAAAAATGACCAACTTTGTATTCAGCAGGAAAGAGACAAGCATTATATGCCCATACAGACAAACTAGTAGAATTCAAAAAATCAGTTAAAATGACAAGGTATATGAAAGCGCATAAAATTGTCACTGTCAAACCTGACAATGATCATCTGTCAATGGCTGATTAGAACGGATGATCTGATGAAGATCAGTGTCCATCAGTTCATAAACAATGTAGACATCATTGAAGGCCTCTTTCTTTGGTGGTCGTATTATGTCCTTGATAGCGATAACCTGTGGCAGGGAAAGAATGGGGTACTAATCAAATGTTTGTACCCAAAGTGCAGTAATTATAACAGAACCTCTTGAAATAATAATATCAATAGCTAGTGATTCTCGCAATAATATGGTTTGGCAGTTATAATTGAAAGAGTGTTTCCATAAAGTGGATGAATTCCAGGATGCTTCAGAAACGGAGAGAGACAGAAATCTTAATTGCAAGCCTACTGAGGTCCATACGGTCCCACCACTTAATCAACCCACATGGCACATTAAAAACAGTAAGTACAAGTAGCTATTTCAATCTAAAGCTTCAATATCCCAAAAGGAAAGACGGGCACTTGTACAGAAACTAATAATAATTTCTTTACAAAATAATTGAACTAGATCTTTAGCTAGCATAAAATCCTATTTAATGTTCTAAATCTCATTAGCAGACACCATCACAGTTGTGTTCATGGTGACATGGATGTAGATACAATGAGCGATACTTAACAAGATAACAATGAATTTTTTGTTTGGTCACAAAACTCTCTCAAATAATATAAACACGTGTTTTATACTCCTAATCCCACAAATCTAATGTGTTGGTGGCACATTTTCAGGGAATAGCACGGGATAAGAGGAGGCATAAATTACTATGATGTGCAACAATTCTGTTGACACAAACTCTCAAAGAACTTTTAATGATCAAAGAACCTAGTCAACTAATATAATAAAGAACTGCTAAGGACTGAACTTACATTTTCATGATCGATGTGGCGAAGGAGCTTAATTTCTCTTAATGTCCTTTTAGCATCTATGATATTGTCAAATGCATTCCCAATCTTTTTAATAGCAACCTCCTCGTGTGTGTCTGAATTCACAGCAGCACTGAACAGAAAAGGAATGACGTCATTTTCCACTCTACTACCAAAGCTGAAACTTGTTATATGTCTAAGGAATTAGAAGCCTCACCAAAACAACACAGCATCTATAGAACTCTTTCAAATTGCACAAAGATAAGCCATAAACATCTTATCTTTTGAACACCAAGGAAACATGTAACAGATTCCCAAAGCAACAAGAGTAGATAATAAGCTTGTAATGATAGCATAAGTACAATCAGTATAATATCCAACAGCTTTTCGGCATACAAAAACATTCACCAAGTTAACGTGGAAAATATATGATTATGTATCATAGGATGATGGTATATTAAATTCACAGAGGCACATTCATGCTTAAACCCAATTCAAAATCCATCATATTACTACTATACAACAAAAAATAAAAATAGAAAACAAAAGACAAAGCCATCTACTAGTTTAAAGCATTTACAAATATCCTACAATATCCTTCAACATTTGGATAAAGTCATCAATAATAATCTAACAGACAAAGCTGCTAGTATATAAAATTTATGAACTCCCTAGTGAATAAGACAATGATATAAGACTTTTTCAATAAATTAACAATTTTGTCACAAGTCAAAATCTAATAATCAGCAATTACAAACATAAATTATTTCTCCTACATCCATGCGATCATCCCTATAAACCCAAGTTTGTTCTGCAATAAGCTCATCCCAGTTAGGGTCATCACACAGTCATCTATAAATTTGCTATATGAACATATCACTGTTATATATCACTTATTTTCACAATTCTTTTAAAAAAAAAAAAAACTTAGTAATTTATCCTTGATTATGCACTGTCTGTTATCCCAATTTTTTTTTAAATAAAATAAAATAGAGAGAAATGTAAAATATCCCAAGACCCGTTTGAGTTTCAAGCAGAAGAAATTTATAGAAATATTAAAAATATGAACTTTGGACCTTCATCGCCACATAAATTCTAAGACACATAACAGAAAGAACGACAAATTAACGCAAAAATTAATCCCGCAAGAAACAAAAACTTCAAGTTAGTATTTGGATTTATAAATAATAATCTACATATTCTTATCTAAAATTACCCAATACCCACTTGAGATTTAAGCAAAAAAAACGAATAAAATATTAAAAATATGAACTTTAGGCCTTCATAACCACAGAAGTTCAAAGACAGAACAGAAAGAACGACAAATTAACCCATAAACTAATCCAGCAAGGAACAAACTTCAACTTAGTATTATATATAAATAAAACATCTAAATATTCCTATCTAAAATATCCCAAGACCCATTTGAGATTTAAGCAAAACAAACTAATAGAAATACTTAAAATTTGAACTTTGGGTCTTCATAACCACATAAGTTCTATGGCAGAGAAAAGAAAGAACAACAAATTAACCCAAAAACAAATCCAGCAAGAAACAAACTTCAACTTGGTATTTGGATATATAAATAATAGATCTACATATCTACTAAAACAACCCAAGACCCATTAGAGATTCAAGCAAAACAAACTAATAGAAATACCAAAAATTTGTACTTTGGGGGTTCATAACCACATAAAGTCCTAAAACAAAGAACAGAAAGAACCCAAATTAACCCACAACAAATCCAGCAAGAACCAAACTTCAAATTCCACGTCTGGGTACATAAACAACACATCTACATATACCATGTACAATACATATATATACATACATGTGTTTGAAAATAACTTACCAAACAATGCCATAAGCACCTCTACCGATTGGTCTAATGGGAGGGACATACTTGTTGGTGACCTCAAAAAAGTTGCCATACACGTTGTACTTCACGTAGCGACCGCCATGAGTGAGCACGCCTCTGATATTACCATCACTTGGAGCAGAACTCGACTCCACAGACATGATCGCAGTTTCTGAAACTCCAGAGGCGAGCCCTAGCTCAATTTATCGCAAATTTTTCTTTAAAACTTCAGAAAAACCGTGTGGGTAGATTTACTAGTTTTTTTAATTTATTGGGTGTCTGTGAATCTGTGAGTTTATGTGAACATGGTTTGAATATCCGTGAAATGAAGCCAACTTTTAAGTTTTACCAAATATATATGTTATATATACAAACTATTTATATATATAAGTCGTGGCCCGTGGGAGGAAAATAAGGTGATTAAATTTCCCAAAAAAAAAAAAAGGTGATTACGAGGACAAAGGACGATGATGTTCCTGGGTTTGCATAGTAACTACTAACCGTTGATCTGTCATCAGAAAGTTTCAATTGACGTCTGTAATTACTAACACATTATTGTTGACCATCACAGCTCTGTCACCAATGAAAATGATGGGAGCCAAAAACTTATATGGTGGTACACAAAATGCTTATTTGATCTTTTAAAAAAAAATTTATTTAATGTTATTGTGACATTAAAAATATTAATAATAGTACGTTGACAGCTCTTACTAATAAAAATTAATAGGAATTAGACTTTCAAATTCTAAATTATTATCCATATTACATTATATAATAATAATAACTAAATTGTTGGAATTAGCTATGCCCTTTCCTTAAATAGATTAAATCCATCACTTCAATATTTATTTTTTTATTTTTATTTTCACTTCAATATCATTGAATTCATCATATGAGGTAAAAATTCATCATAATGGCCGATCATGACCATAACTTATCAATCTGTCTGATTTTATGCACCACAAAGATAGAAGCTAGTATTTCTTTAATAGAACACTTAATTTAGCTAGACTTGTTTCCTAGATTTAACATTTTTTTTTATCGTTAACATTGTTAGACTACATGCATCTTACAAGCAATTGTCACTGTTTCTATTTGTCTGTCAGGGTGTCAAATTGAAATTTGTAGAATTTTAAAAAAACAACTAAAAAATTAAATTATAATTTTTTTAATTTTACAATTTTTAATTTTAATATTCTAATTTCATACTGTCAAATTTATATATAGAACCAAAATGTTTTATTATATGCAGTTTCTTCCTAAACCTTCTTAGTACTATTCTATGTCAATAACTTCCCTATCTCAACCACCCTAACTTAAAATAAGAAGTTTTCCAAGTCTCTCTCAAACTTTAATATCCACAACCACCCATCATCATCCATCCAATATCTGTAAAGCAGGTTATGTGAATCTTCTACCGGAGGCCTTTCTCATCACCTTGCTCATTGATTGAATAATTTGCATTTAACACAACGCTGATAGTTTTCTTATAAAAATTTCAGCAATTTTTTTTTTTTTTTTTTTTTTCTTTTATCTTTTAAGCAACGAGTGGTAGGAATCAGTGCACGTACTCAAACCATCAAAAGTGAGATTATAAGAGCATATTGTATGACGAGTATTATAGCGAGTGTTTTGCTCTGTAGCGAGCCAAGTGGCAAGCCCCACTTAATTAATTAATTACCTGATTTATTTAATGCACTTGCCCATCTCTCTCTTTCATTAGTGGATCTTATCAAACTATGTTATGGACATTTGTAGCCAACATCATATTTCTTTGACAGGCTAATCACAAATATGATGAGTCTATGTCAGTCTAACAAATTAACGTGACTCTCTATATTTTCACATACATAAAAATTAGGTTTAAAGGATAAATTTTCGGCGATTTTGGACCAAATTTAAAAATTGAATTATTCTAATAGAGTAGCCAAAAATTAAGCCCCACCCATTAGATAGCAGAATGGGTTGTAGTATTTTGCGACCCTATTGGCGATTTGGGAGCCTGCCATGTGGGCCCTCATCAGTTTTTTTTTTTTATTTTTTTAATTCTGGCCGAAACAATATTTTAACCCAGAATACTATTCATAAGAGTATGTTTGCCCAAAAAAAAAAAAAAACAAATTTTTGGCTTCTTTTTGTCTCTTTTTTTTTTTCCCTCAAATTAATTGAACTAAAGAGCCGTTAAGGCACTGTTTGGGAAAAAAAAGTTAAAAAAAAATAGAGAAAAGTGTTTTTTTTTTAAAAAAAAAATTTAGTTTTTAAAATATTCCCATTGACATATAGTTGATTTAGGGACTGTTTGGCTGACCTAAATAGTGCCTTAACGGCTATATTGGCACAAAAATCTATTTTTTGAAAAAAATTTAAAAATATATATACATATTTATTTATTAAAAAAAAAAAACTTTCACTGTTTATTTCAAATGATATTAAAAACCTTTCATTATTTATTTCAAATATAATTTTTTTATTAAAATAAAATATGTCTTTGTTTTCGGTAAAAATAAGAAAATATAGCCATTAAGAAAAAGTTAAAAAATAAATTTTATTTTAAATTTTAAAAATATTAATATTATTGGAGAGCGAAAATGCACTATTGGAGTACATCCGATAGCTAAAACTTGAAAATTCTAAAACGCTGACGTGGTTATGAAAAAATACTAATGTGACAAATTTAGAAAGCACATTGAAAATGCCCTAAAGAGTCATGTCAACCCACCCACGTAGTCTTTATATTCATAAATACGGAGAACCATCCCCTACCCAATGCTATAAGTTTGAAAACACTAAGAATAGGTTTTCCACAAGTAATATAAAAGTCTATATCAAGTTCATCCCTCTCGAGTCTCTGCTCATTAAATAAATGGCACTAAATGATGGACTGGTACAAATTTAATTTGGTCATTGAACCATTGTCCAATTATATTTTATTAGGTATTTTCATCATAAAAATGTATATATTTATATATATATGAACTTCCTGATTTAAAGGTTAAAAATGTGGACAAAGTCAACTTATTGATGTAAAATGCAGAACTTCTATCGACCAATAATAATTCTAAGGTCCAGTACATAAGAAGTATATTTCAACAATAAAGTTGGAAGTGACAAACTCAAAAGGCAGAAGTTGACAAATTCTGGCTTACATACAAAGTCTGAACCATGATTATGGAACATATGATCAAAATCCATAACATATTTTGAATTGTTATTATTATTATTTTTCTTGAATATTTTGAATGGTTATTTTGCTATATTATACAGTTTGTTGATTATGAACAATAAAGTTCTTGTTATCTCTAGAAGTTAACAAGCATGACAATCACCAACCCCTTTAATGGATTTGGTGGGTGAGAGATCACGAGAATTTAGCTTTCACACCTTTTACTTCAGCTTTTGAGAAGCCTATGAAACTCAGCCTTTCTTTTGCTGCACACTTCATTATCATCATAAACTGGTCTGATCAGCTTGAATTGACAATATAAGACTCCATTCCATAGCATAGTTTTGAATATATATATATATATATATATATATATATATATATATATATTATCATTGACATCAATTAGTGCCAGATGGACCGAATAAGGTTTTATTGGTCCAAGATTTATAAGCCCATTGTCGAGCTTGTTGGGCTTTAACCAATCGACTAGTCCAACTGGGTTGAGAATTTTTTCCGCACCCAAACAATTCCCAGATTCGGTCCACACTACACTATTGGGCCTCAAAACTATGCCGCAAGGTAGTCTATCAACTTATTGGGTCAGGTATGTCGTCTTGAAAGTTAAAACTGGACCGTCACTAAAATTTATGTGGACCTTGATGTTCTGGCCCACTTGTCGCACCAAATGACTGTAAAGCCCTTCACTTAAAGGCGAGTGAGCTTAAATACAGTATCATTTTTCAATTTGTTTTGTGAATTGTGAATGCTAATTTACGATATCTATCTATATCTATTATCTCTACTGGTATTAAACCAATTACAGAGGCAATTCATAATGTTGTAATTTAATATTTTTATCATTTTTTAAAATAACAGTTTGAAGATTCAAGTTCTTACAGAGTGAGTGCAAGTTTCTTGCAGTGCTGAATATAATTATATAAATAATATGCAATGTCTGTTGTTTGATTGAGGAAAGAAAATGAGGGATGCATTTCATTGTTTATCCATTTCTAGTCTACCAAAAACATAAATTTGTTTGAGCTCATAAATAATAATATACCCGAAGAAAAGTTGGAGGCTTCGATCTTTCAAACTCAATCAGCAACAAAAATGCTTCCTTCTCAAAATTAATGATATGTAAAACACAATAAAATGTTTGATTTGTCTTCTTCATATATATATATATATATATACTTTGAATAAATTGACAATCAAAGATTAGTTGATCAACCATGCATGCCTCTAGCCTAAAGTAGTACTATTATTAGGATCAACTCTCCATGAATTGTGACAACCAATGTGCTTGGACCACTGGAAGGTCTGTGTCCTATTACCAGCAGCCATAGCTTGATCACTAGCCGTGATCAGCCTCCTGAACTTCTTCCAATCACGAAGAACAGCCGCGAGATCCGCCACCTTCGCCCTTATACTCCGGCAGCAATTGGCGTGGACGGTTGTCACCGCCGTTATATCTCTACTGTCTTTGCAAAAGCCACTAAAGTAGAGGCTGTCCAAGAACCTTACTTTGAGGCCTAATTGTCTAAACACACCCTTATATATCAAACTCACCAGAACATCTTGCTCTTTGATCCCTGTAGAGTTGTCCTTCATGTCATACCATGTCTGAAACAATGAGATGGTCCTGTTGTTTGATCTCACATAGTAAAAACCAGTGTTGATGTAGTTGTATTCCGACCACGGATCGCCATTGAAGTCGTCGGTGCTTATCTGTATGTCCTCGCTTTCGTTCTTGCTTAGCCTTCCAAATGGATTCCTTAGCCACATTACATCCGTATCCTGTCAACATACACAAATCATATAATTAATTATATATATAGAACGCTACAGATATTCTAGCTGATATAATTCGGGTTTAAGAAAGTTTTTTTATGCCTTTAGATATTTTTTAAATGAATAAACACAGCAAATTAAACACTTAGTCGTTTTTTTATTTTATTGGACTAGGTATTTTGAAAGGTTAAAAAGTTGAAAAGTCAGAAAAATATCACTAAAAGGTAACAGTTGACTTTGCCAGATGCCTTAACTTTGGACTTCATTAAAATACATCCTATGACCATCAAAGGAATCTATTACGTATTTGTTTTTGTTGTCGGCGGCCAAAATAGTAGGCTAAAATTGATTAATTTAATCGAAAAAAAAAAAAAAAAAACGTATATGATTAATTTAATCAAAAGATCCATTAAGCAATGTAAATCCAAAATAATCAATAGAGATATTATATTATTGTTTTATAAATAAATAAAAGAATAGCATAGAGGACACTTAATTTAAGAAATAAGTAAAGATAGCTTGAATAAGCATATGATCACCCTCTAAATTAAAAAATGCAATATATATATATATATATATATATATATATATATGTTATGTATGTATATGTACCGTGAAGATGAAGTTGTAGCCACGCTTGAGGACATCCAACAGAAATAGAGTTCTTCTCCACATCATGTTAATGAATTCATCCGACATGAAAAGCTTCTCTCCCGCGTAATCTACACCGTCCGTCACCAACTTATAACAGTGCAACCCACGGAATTTGCACCGATCATACGCCGTCTGATCCACTGCCACGAGCAACAGATGATCAATCAATGGCCTCGTCTCTTCTCCTACCCAAAAACTCTCCAAAAAAAGATCCAGCATAGTCATGTAAACGTCGTCGTTGTGTTGTTCCACGTACGCTTTGTTTACCATGGCAATCACAAGCGTCTTGTTGAACATTGATGCTTTCTCCAATGCTACTTCAAGCTCATCTAAATTCTGCACATCCTGCTGTAACTATAAAATTATACAATCAATCTTAATTATCATATATATATATATATATATATATATATTATATCCAAATATATAATTTTTCACTACACCATAATTAATGGTCTCTATTCTAGCTCTAGCTAAGGGCGTAGCTATAGGATCCAGGGCAAACTTCCCGCGGTTCTGGCATCGAAACGGCGGTCGGTCTTGAATTAACTTAGTGTGTTTGGTTTGGGGCAACTTTGCACACTCTACCTTGAGTCATAAGTTCAAAAAAGAAAAAGAAAAAGAAAAGATCGATCTCTATATTATATAAATATAAAATATATATGCACAAATATATATATATATATATATATATATATATGTGTGTATGTATGTACGTACAGAAGTATACTTACAGAATTTGATTGTGGGTAAGGATGGTTTTGAGTTGAAAAGAAAGGTTTGAAGGTGATGATGGGAGACCAGAAAATGAGATAGACAACGCCGACAAAAAGAAAAGAGAGACCGGCAATGTTGCTAAAGTTGTTCTTGATATAAGTAGCCATATTGGTCTTCTGATAATCTCTCAACTATATTGAAGTTTAGAGAGAGAGAGAGAGAGTTTGATTGAGAGAGAGAGAGAGAGAGAGAGATGAGGGAGATCAGGCAATTAATTAACCTAAAATTTGAGGCTAGTTCCACAGTACTATGATTCATATAAATTACAATATTAATTATTGCCATTGTTTATATGATGCAATTTTTGGCCCAAGTTAAATTCCAAAAAAAAAAAATTTGGCCCAAATTATATATGACTATCAACGATAGTATATACTGTCATTATTTTTTATTTTATACTGCCAGATGCATGTATGAGACTTACAATATACATAAATAAACCAACCCTGGCCTATTTTACATATATATATATATATATATATTTCGGATATTTTACATATATAATATACTGAACACTATTTGCATAAACAAACATGACCGTAACATATATTGTATAAATGAACACGACCCTCTATTAATACCATATATTAATTAAACACCACCGGCCCTATTAATTTTTTGTCGGTAGCTTAAAAGTCTTGTTCAAAGCCAGTTGTGTGTGTTTGTTTTTTTCCTTCTTTTTTTATCTTTCACGAAACACAACAAATTTTTTTATATTTTTAAAATTTTAATTTAAAAGTAAATACTTACACACCGCCACAAGTGTTTAGTGTGATGCTCAAACTCCTCACCTTCTCTTTTAAGGAAGAAAAAAATGAAATTTCAGCTTACCTAAATACTTGTATTTGAATTTTATATTTCAGTTTTTTTGTTATTTAGGCTTCGATGACGACGAAAAAAAAAAAATTAAAAAAAAAATCGAATTCGGGATTATAGTATTTAATGTAGTAGTCTTTTCTTCCTTCATTTTCTTACTATCCAAGCCAATTATTATTTTTCTTTATTGGGGACATCTCTTGCATTCCTTTACGGCATCTTCTAATTCTTATTTTATACAAACATCAGAATCTCTTCATTATTGAAATATATACCAGGAATCTCTTCAATAGGTTTTAAAGCATTTTTTTTTAATTGCTTTTCTAAACTTTTATTTAACTAATATTTCTCAGTATCAAATAGAGTAAAATAAAAATCTATTTGTTTGTTTATTTTTTTATTTAATATAGGGGGCCATGGCCCCATGTGCCCTTCTTTACGTTAATATTGAATAAAAGTTGGTCATGTTAAAAAAAAATTCATAATTAAACATAAAGTACTGGTATTCAAAGTTTAAATAAACACTTGCACATTTCTCATAAGGTGAATCACAAATTGATTTTACAAATAGTTTACAAAGAACGAAGAAAAAAGAAAATAAAATAAAACTAAATAAAAAATAAATAAAAAGAGTTTGTCAACACATTGAATTTTCTTTACGTTAATATTGAATAAAAGTTGGTCATGTTAAAAAAAAATTCATAATTAAACATAAAGTACTGGTATTCAAAGTTTAAATAAACACTTGCACATTTCTCATAAGGTGAATCACAAATTGATTTTACAAATAGTTTACAAAGAACGAAGAAAAAAGAAAATAAAATAAAACTAAATAAAAAATAAATAAAAAGAGTTTGTCAACACATTGAATTTTCTTTTGTTTGCCTGTAGTGGACTTCTTGTTCTTGTAGCACATATGGGCCTCTGGCCGACTTTTGTGTAGGCCTTGGTCCCCCCAAGTAGGAATGGCAATTTATTCCAATTTTGGGGGGAATCGCCTTGCCCTCGACCCATTTAAAGCGAATTTGAAGAACTATTTATTTGAATGGGGTGGGGATGAGGGTTGGGAAAAAAACCGGCCGGATTTGGGGTGGGGAAGGGGTGCCCCCGCCCAGATTACATATGGAATTATTTCTATTAGTCCTTGCCATGTTATTGTACTTACCGATTTAACATATATATATATATATATATATATATATATATATATACACTTCTAAATAAAACTCTACTCATTCTTATCTTTTAAGGCGGGGGCGGAGGCGGAGGCGGAGGCGGGGGATGGGGCGGGGGCGGTTATGAGAATTAGGGATAAAAAAAATAATCGATTTTGGTAATGCCAAATTTAAACGAGGATAAGAATGGGAATGGGGAATGAAAACCCCGCCCCAAGCTGCCCATTGCCATCCCTATCCCTAAGTATATTTGTACATTCTCTTTTCTTCTTTTAACTCTTATTCACTGAGAAATGATAAATTTATTTTCAAAAAAATCGGATTGACCAAATTAACATATTATATATAGTTTAATTTGTGTAAGCTTGATAATTTATCAAAATATCATTCATGTAATAAAACAGTAGATTAAATAACAAAAATAACATTTTTTTAATTACTAAAATATAATCTTAAATGGAGAGATTATTGAAACAAGTACTGAATAATAAAATAACAAAAACAGAAATAGATGGATGTAATAAAAAACCGCCAAATTAACTAATCACATTAAATAGATCCATATCCGATTCATTGTCGGGTTTAATTCAGGTTCATTGGCCGAAAAGAGAAAAACCGGAAAGTCGAAGAAGAAGGGAGAAGAGTCTAGAGTAGAAGCGGGAAATAAATCCTTCCAAATTCCAATGACTTCATCATCTTCCCGAACCCACCAGAACCGCTTCTCTCTCTCCACTATAAATAGGACCTTTTATTATCCAGAAATAGAAACAAATCAATCAATCTCTCTCTATCTCTATACTCTGTGTATTCCTTTGATTTTTTGATCGTTTGAATCGATGGCTGATGTTGGAATGGAAGAGGCAGACACATTTGCTTTCCAGGCGGAGATCAACCAACTTCTCAGGCTCATCATCAACACCTTCTACAGCAACAAGGAGATCTTCCTTCGTGAACTCATCAGCAATGCCTCTGATGTAAGTCACATCTGCATATATATATATATATATATATATATATGGGTAATGGGTTTTCTTTGCCGTTCGGATTTTGGGCTAAATTTGTTGAGTTTTTTTTGTTTCTTGTAGGCGTTGCAAAAATTTAGATTCTATAGCTTTAACACTATATATGTATATATGTATATTGAAATACACATGCATCTATAGTAGATAAACAGTATATATGTTAATCAAACATTGATCTGTTTTCCTATTATATGTGTGTGTGATTGATGGGTTTCTTTTATTTGTTTGAATTGGGGTTAAATTTGTTAAAGGCATTGGATAGGATTCGATTCGAGAGCTTGACAGACAAAAGCAAGCTCGATCCTCTACCAGAGCTTTTCATTGGAATGATCCCAGACAGGGTCAATAACACTCTCTCTATAAGGGACAGTGGTATTGGAATGACTAAAGCAGGTACTAATGTACTATATGTCAAGCAATTTCAATCTGTATATGTCACTTTAATTTTGGGTTTTTGAGATTGACGGAAATGGGTTATTTTCGTGATGATTAGAATTGGTGAACAATTTGGGGACGATAGCGAGGTCGGGGACGAAGGAGTTCATGGAGGCATTGCAGGCTGGGGCTGATGTGAGATGATTGGGCAGTTCGGTGTCGGGTTCTACTCTGCTTACCTTGTGGCTGAGAAAGTCATTGTGACAACCAAGCACCCAGACGATGATCAGTACGTCTGGGAGTCTCAAGCTGGTGGGTCTTTCACTGTTACTAAGGACGTTCATGGAGAGCCTCTGATTAGAGGGACTAAGGTCACACTATTCCTCAAGGAAGATCAGGTAAAAATGCAATCATTATTGATATATATGTATGCTTGCAAATTTTGTACCTATATACTAATTATTTATGCACACACATTACAAACGTACTCTTCCTCAATGGAGAGAAGTTGAAACTGAAATCTTTATTGTATTGATATTTAGGTCCTATGTGTGTGTATGGTTGCATCTCTATTAATCATTTATGCTTTGTAAATTAATGGTTCAGCTAATAAATCAAACATTCATGTAAAATTTGGCTTTGACATTTTTCTAAAAGTTTAAATTAAAATACGGCCACTGTTCTGTGTGTATGAGATGTAGAATTAAACTCTACTGCTGGTGGAAAAGTTTGGCTGTAGACTCGTAGCATGTGGCCTAATTTCGGAAATTTGGATAGTTCAGATTCTGTTTAGGAGGAGGATAGTTTTATTACTATAATAGATATGTTTTATCCTAATGAGGTTGAGTTGGGTTGTTAGAATTTGCTTGAAATTATAGCGATCAAATCTTGAAGATATTGTAAATTCGTGGCATTAGGACTATTACAAATGCACGTCTATATATACTATATATTTGACCAATCTGAATTTGTTTGTACAGTTGGAGTATCTAGAGGAAAGGAGGCTGAAGGAACTTGTGAAGAAGCACTCGGAGTTCGTCAGCTACCCTATCTACCTCTGGACGGAGAAGACCATCGAGAAAGAGATCAGTGATGACGAAGACGAGGAACCCAAGAAGGAAGAGGAGGGTAATGTTGAGGAAGTAGATGAAGAGAAAGAAAAGGGCACCAAAAAGAAGAAGATCAGTGGGAGCTCATCAACAAGCAAAAGCCTATTTGGCTGCGAAAGCCTGAAGAGATCACTAAAGAGGAGTATGCTTCTTTCTACAAGAGCCTGACCAATGACTGGGAGGACCCTCTTGCTTGGAAGCGCTTTGCGGTTGAAGGGCAGCTCGAGTTCAAAGCCATACTCTTTGTGCCAAAAAGAGCACCATTTGATCTCTTCGACACGAGAAAGAAGATGAACAACATCAAGCTGTATGTCCGGAGAGTGTTCATTATGGACAATTGTGAAGAGCTAATTCCGGAGTATCTTGGATTCGTGAAGGGGGTAGTGGACTCTGATGTTCTCCCCCTCAAACATTTCTCGCGAAATGCTTCAACAGAACAAGATCCTGAAGGTGATCAGGAAGAATCTTGTGAAGAAGTGCATTGAAATGTTCTTTGAAATTGCTGAGAACAAAGAGGATTACAAGAAGTTGTATGATGCGTTCGGGAAGAATATCAAGTTGGGTGTTCATGAAGACAGCCAGAACAGGGCCAAGCTTGCTGATATTCTCCGATACTACTCGACCAAGATTGACGATGAGATGACCAGCTTGAAGGATTATGTTACAAGGATGAAGGAGGGACAGAAGTACATTTACTACATTATTG